TGAAATCGATTCCAGCCCAGAGTGGCCGTTTTGAATGGACTTAAGTTCAAGCCAAATAAGAATAGCTTATGAACTGCGGGAACTCATTCTCACCCTCATCTACTTCATTTCATCCTCGCTGACAGATAATAGCGTGTGTTTAACTTAAGATAATGGGGCTCAGTGGTGGGATGGGGTCCGAATTTTTTGTTTTATTTTAAAGTTGAAATCCATTTAGGTGAAGATCTCATACGACAACACCTCTAAATCATTAATGCCATTTTAAATATGAGTTTAAAAAACAATTCTACACCAGTAAACATTGCTGTGTGGTGAACTTTCTCTGCACCCATTAAAGTAACTTTCAGTTTACTTTATATAAAGTTATAATTTACCCCAAAGCCACATCAGCTGCCTGAATGAGCAAAAAACTCCTTGACACTCAACTCAAAATAAGAATGACTAAAATACTCTTTTCATTCCAGACTTCATTCAGAGTCTGATTATTTAATTGAAAATATTTGAAATATGTAACAAGAGAAATAAACCCTTATCCTTGGTTCAAAAGCATTCAAAAACTATTTAATCTAATTTCTAAATCTAACTACACTAAATAATATTTGCAATTGAGTGTTAATGGAAACTAGTGGCCTGGAATATTACTAGAAAATTTTGGAGTAAATTTCCAGTGTTCAATAATAAGACAAGTATGAATGTTCATCTTTTTAACTCTGGGTGGCAGTGTTGATGCAACCACACATTACACGGCTTTGGAGAGGAAATCCACTACTTCTCTTCTCATATTGATCAAAACATTTAAATTCTTTCTTTTTCTGTTCTGCTGGTGGTACTGTATCTGATTTTGTTATAAAGTAATCATTAACAAAATATGTTACATTTCAATTCCTCTTTTAAACTACTGCACTGAAAATGTTCTAATAAGCATCAAACTATAAATCCCTGAATATTGTGTGTTTTGGTCTGAACAGCTTCATATGTATATACATAATCATATTGATATATTCAATATCAATATATAGTTTATATTCAGTTATATGGATTTAGTGTTGACTTTAAAAAATATTTGTGATGAATCAGATTAATTTACACATTGTCAAAATAAAAGAAATGTTCCTTCTTCTGCAGGTTTGACACATTTATATAAGAAGCTTCAAGCCATGTTAATTATATATTTATAACTTAAATGCAATAAGATATTATCATAGTCGAAGAAAGGTTGCCATGAATTTTGCTGGCTACTTCAAATAGCAGCTTGGCTACATGAAATTATTATAATTAAAAGTATTGTTATTATTACTATTATAAATACCTTTTAAAATGTTATTACACTCAGTTATAGTGAAAATCCTAATGTATTTATGTGTCTGATTATATCAAAATAAAATGCATCTATTTTGTGATAAATTCATGGTTACATTTATAATGTAAATGAGAATATAAATGCTCAAACAGAAATACATTAATCATGGTAATGTTACTAAATTGCAAAATCTATAGAAAACGTTTTCTAGTAATTGCAAAATTATCATTTTGTAAGACATATAGTATCAACGTATGTCATCTAATCATTATTCTTATTCATTTTTATTTGTTAAAAGCATAAACACACAAAAAATAAAAATAAAAATGATGATGCAGCATTTTTAAAGATGCTAACATGCTAAATATTTCAAAGAAACATTACTAGCTCTGCATTAATGCTATGCAGCTTAACAGCATGCCGCTGGTCAAAATAATGCCCTCATGTATTCAGTGATTATACAGGCCAACTGTATGCTCCAATCTCTTAAGCATGTCGGAGCTAAAATCAATTTCTCCTTGGTGCACCTTGAGTGCATTATTAGGAGGCAATTTAACAGGTAATTTGTCGCACGTATTATGAGATATGTTTGGTGTTTACTGTAGGCTGCTGAGGCCAGTGTTACTGTAAAACTGCTGTGTTAGGGGATGTTATAGGTGCTGTACAGCGCTGTATGTTTTGCGTTTGTTGGATTAAAGAGTCACAGAGGAACATGAGAGGATTTATGCCACGTTCAGACATCTCTGCTTTGCATTACATATATTTTATTACTATGCAGCCATTATAACATAGCGTGGCAGAAAGCTCTCTGTGGGCAATATTAGAGGAGTATTAATATCATTTCTTCGACATCTTTCACTTCTCTTCTGGCTCAAGTCAATATTGAGCTGGTATGGAACTCATTATTGTCAGGGAAAAGCTCCTTTCTCTGTGCCTTTGCCGTTTTGTTCCATCTGTGTTGTAGTCACCTGAACATGATCTGAAGTCAGCCAGTCAAGTGACCTGGAATCAATACAGTCAAACTCAGTGGAGGCAAATAAATCAGCCTGGCTCATTTAACCCATGAGAGTCCTGCTGCTTAGCTACAGCGGTGCAAGCACGTAATAAGCAAGGCATGTTTGATGACAAATAATGTTTTCTAAATTCTTGTTTCTCGTCCCAGCTTTAGTGACTCCAGACTTTATAGCCATGAGGCATATCTCTCTGTGCATGTCTACTCGCTGTTTTGTGTAGTGTAAATCCTAATGGGTACATCTGAAAGCCCCCCCCACCCCCGATGTCTGTCACTTTCTTTGCACAAAAAGCGAGTTGACAGTTTTGTATACATTGACATTTTTTTTATCAAGCTTTCTCTCTGGGTATCTTTGTATCTTAAACAAAGCAGATTTTTTTTGTTGGCATATCTGTAATTTTTGCAGCTGCTTCAGTGTATCCCTATGGCATCTGTCTCCATGCCTGTCATATAAAAACCAGTCTGTGTTTTATACTTTGCCCATCATAACTCTGTGTATAAAGGAAGTGGAATTTTACTACCAGCTTCTGGAGCAGGAAATTGGTTTCACACTACTCTTAGGAAATTTCAAAAAATATGGCTATATGGCTTGCAAGATAAACCATAAATTCAGATGTCGTTTTATGCCAACCATCACTGACAACTTGGACCTACTTGGAAAAGAGTAATCCTATTAAAACAGCAGAAAACCCATAAACGTTGAATTGTGTTATGATTATGAATATGCATATTTATTTTACGTATAGCATTTTTATTGATTGTTGGAAAATTATTGCCATTAATGTTGCTGCCAGCCTCCATTGTGCCAACTTGAATCAACTTTAGTGCAAACACAGCTCGATTTGAATCATTTTCAAAGATTAATTGTGACATGTCTCAAAGTACTTTGAGCCAACATCACATCAGCTGATTATGATTTTATGATGATTCATGCACAGGAAGGAAAGTTTTGCATTATGGAGGAAGTTGCATTTCACTTCAGCTTTGGTTCTTTGGCTCTGTTATTGGAAAATAACTGCTGTTCAGGTCTACCTAATTGACAACTTGGCCTGTTCAGTCACATGATGCCTTCCTTGTGATGCATGACTGATGGCTTGCTGAGTCTGAAAAGAATAACTGAGTACATATTTCGAAAAGCGCTCCTTCTTGCTAGTCAAAGTTAAATGTATCATAATATAAACATTATTACTTATTATTGATTTCAATTGAATTTCATATCATCAATGGCCATAAACTGTGGGCCACTTAAGCAACAGTAAAGTAACTTCTTTATTGTATTATTTTATTGTATCTTGCCAAGTCATAAGTTGACCTAACAATTATTTTGAATCACTTCATGAATGTTTTATAGTGAGTGAAGCAAACCCAGCTATTATGCTGACTATTATAATCAGAATGAATTGTAACTTATCAACTTCACTTTGATACCAGACTGCACTATTTTATCAGACTGTAATATTTCACAGCAGGTACCATAACCAAGACCAGTTCCCATAGTTTGTCCTATAGTTTTTCTTTACTAGCAGAACACTTTGGTCAAGCTTTAAAACATCACTCATTCCTTGTGTTGGGGAAAAAGTAGTATTTTATGTATAAACGCCATAAAATCAATAAAATATTTAATTAAAATATTATATATAGCTTACAAGGTCATTTTTTTTAAATAGTTGTAATCTTCAAAACAACAGCAGTGTATACAATTACACGTATATACTCTTGCTAGAGAGTTGTCAAATTAGTATTTTTACATGCTAAACAACCAAATAAATTAATTATTAATTCATATCACCAATGGTAGAATGTATAAATATAAATAAATTATATCGATATAGATCAATAAATCAATCATTTAAAACTCCAAACCTACAATTGGTTGAAAAAAATGAACAGATTAAGAAAAATAACAACAATAACATTTTATTTGAGTATATAATTGTAATAAAAATATGAATACACTTGACATTTTTTACAGTTATGCATAAATTTTCCCCGAAGGAAAAAAAAAAAAAATTCCTCAAGGCCTGGCGGGAGGTTTAGTAGGAAAACGGTAAAGTAATAACACATTTGACTGAAAATACTGGAAGTTTAAATGGAAAAGAAAAATGTTTAACTTACTTTAATTGTCCTCCCGTGTTCGACACCTGTGACAGCGCCAAAAGTCCCATAACAGCCTCATGGAGAGCCTCATAGAGAGCCTCATAGAGAGCCCCATAGAGAGCCCCGCAGACACGTTTAAGCTTCGTCTGACAAAAGAATAACCAGTATTTTCATTTGGAGCCGTGTGGCAGTGAGAATAAGTTGCTCCATCTTTTATAAATGCCCCACATGGTCCCAAAACACTTAATTATCACTAGGTAAGGCCGTGTGGACTGTCCTCCTCCTTGGTGATTGACAGCGGGGTACATTGAAGTGGCTCTTGAAGGGGATGAAGGATCCTCTTGACGTGCGGCTGCATCAATAATTCAAACATTTTAAACCGCCTAGCATTAAAAATACACACAGAGATATTGTATATGTTCTGTGTGAGGCTGGCTGGATTAAGGCGGCCCTGAAATGCGTAGCAGCGCTTCTGCGTTGCTCGGTGCTCCCCTCTGTCTATCGTTTTTTTGGTTTCGCCCAAACTTGGTTCAGATTTGAGTTCGCTTTCCCAGCTATCTGAGATCGCTCTATTGGAGGTGAAGGACCGCCTGTCCCCTCTCTGCCTTTGCTGTCAATGGCTTTCGGGACGTATTTTATTTGAATGTCTGGGCGTTATAAGTGACCAATGATGGATATTCTATGGATATTATGGACCATACCGGCCGTAATAGCTGTTGAAGGTAAGCATTTGCGGTTAAAGCCGCATCATCTTGCCGGCTTTGAGTTTTGAGACAAAGCGCGTGAGTGTTTGCTCAGTGTAATCATAGAAAGGGCTCACGGGGGAATTAATCACGCCTCAAACCCCCCCTTAAATATCAATTAATGTGTTGTACCATGGCGTTTTATTTTATTTTATAGTGCTTCAATGTAAGCGCGGCTCCAAGCAGCAGGCAGAGGGATGGATGATGGTGGGACACAAAAACACGCTCCCGCATCTCCGCAGGTATCCGGATGCTGGTGTGCGCTAATGGCGTTAATTACGGAATAAAATAAAAATCCTGCTTTTCATGTATAAGCAGGTTAGAAAACGTTCAATCCCAGTCAGGTGGGTCGCCTCCTGTGTGTCCGTGGAGGTGTGTCACCGGTTTCCTCTCAGTTGGTGACAAAAAAATAAAACAAGAGGACGTGTCTTTAAAGCCTTTTCTTTTTACCACAGCGGGTCTGAGACTAAATGCGCAAATATGCATGCTGGAAATTGTGTTGTGTAACTTGCAAAAGGTCTATCTGTATGCTCCCCCAGTCATTTGTACGCAAAGCTTGGCTAAAGAGTAATAGGCAGCAGGCAGGCAGCGTGGCTCAACACACAATGAGACAGGTTGAATGGTGAATAATAATCTCTAATAGTGTTTACAGTAGTATGTCTGTGCTGAGTTACTAATATAGTAGTCTTATTGTGCTTATTGTTACAGTATTAAGACCCCTGGTACCTTTGGGCACTATATAATTGTGGTAATGTGTCCTTTAATCTTTTTAGAAAGATGTTTGTCATGGTTCTTTTTAATTTACGTGGATTCAGTCTGAGCTTTGAATTATAATTTGCAGGTGATTTCATGTCACTGGACTCATTTTTTGCTCTGTGACAGGACAGGAGACATTCTGCACACTGAAGAAGAGGAAAGTGTCAGCCCAGTCATACATCTATTCAGGCTATTTTTATATTTTTTAGGATGTTGTCAGAAAACAAACATGTATTCTTCCTCCGGTCAGTTTAACTAAACCTCATAATTACAGGTGGAGCTAAGGAAGTATGTAAAAACTCAACCAAATGCAACCGCAGGATAAAACAACAAAAAAGAAAAAAAAAATATTTAGCTGCTTGTTTAGGGTAAGATCTTTTTGTACATGTGTAATACCATCACCAATGTGTGTAGCAAAGGTTGACGGACCTGTCAGGTCCAATGTAGGACTGGCACAGACTTCTGCTGACTGCTCCGGTTTATGGTTTCAATGTAGTCACATATCCAAGACCTAGAAAAACAACCTTGAAGGCTTACATTATAGTTCACATTGACAGCTTTAAAATTCGTGTCACAGCTTTGAATTTTTTTAATTTAAGGTTTGATCACATCATTCCAGGACAACCTTATTATTTTGGTAAATTATATTTAGCCTCAGCACTAAAATACATCATACAAACACAGGCAACAATGTCTCATACAATCCATAAATTGTTTTCATTTTTATTTGAATGTATAAAAAATATATTGCCCAGTTTACTTTAATTGTATCTTAGAACATTTCGCAAGCATACTGAAACCAATCAGATGTGTTAATATTCAAACTGCATAAATTATACTGTCAGGTCCCACATCTAATTTTTTTATAATATACTGAATATTAATCAACACTGAATACCAGATTTAGTTATAATATATTCAGGGGAAAAAAACACACATTACAAATCTCATAATATGTAACTGTATATCGTCATCCCATATATATATATATGTACATAATACTCAATATGATTTGTTATCTTTTAATTACTGATATCATCACGCTCGATTGCTATTTTAATGGTTATTTATTTTTTGATTTTATCCGTGCTGTTCTGTCCAAGAGCAAGAAACCACAGGATGTGAAAAATGCCAAAAATAACAGCAGATTCACACTACAGTGTTTCCACTTCCCGTTGTTTTCTCTGTCTCCCTTAAATGCAATCATGGCCATGGTTACTTGCTTGTCTACATGTAAAATCCACTGTGAAGCGTATGTGTAAGCTGAGAGCGTACAGTGCCTCAAATACCAATGGGCACGGTCCCTCAGATAGTTGTTTCAAAGTACACTTCTTGCTCCTTTAAGATATGATATTCAGTGTTACACTAGATACACAGTTTGCATGTTGCAGTACCTTTCGGGCCTCTTGGGGTTTTTGGAAACCAGCTAGTCCCGTCGCCAACCCAACACAGCCCCCCCCTCCATTTTACCCTGTGAATCACCCTAGTCGACTATCCAATGAAATTGCAGGGATGGCTTACGTATGAGAAATAAAGGGTTGAAAAAGAGGTCACTGCAGCTGTATTCTGAAAAAAAAAAACATCCCAGCATGCAACAGAAAAGAGAAACCCTCTAGTGGATCGTTTTGACACGTTTAAGTCCGGGACACTACATTGCCTCCATTGTTATTTTCGTTTAATAGAGAGTGACGTCTTCGCATAGTTCTGTTTTTACTTTACTGACGAACGTTACCTTCTAAATGTTCCATTGCATCATATTGATCGCTGTATTTACTGTGGGAAAGGTGAATGGAGTGTAGTAGTGAATAAATCATAAGTCACACATTTCTTAGCATACCTACTTGTTATACATATAATCAATGAATCAGGCCGAGAGCATACTGGAGAGGATTAGAGGATTAAAAGTGGGGCCAAACTTAAGAAAATCCAAGCTGTGTCCCAAGTATCCATTTTGCGAATAGTTTCAACACTGCATAGCGTGTAAAGAATTCAGGCTACAACCCCGTGTCTGTCTTTAGTAACGTCGCCATGTTGGACAACTATAAATGCCGTTCGACCATTTTTCAAAGGCATTTCATTTACCCCGTGGAAAACAACTCTATATTGCTGATTACTGTTAATGTAAGCTGCCGTTGATGTCACCTCTTATTGGTTTAGCTAACAGGAACAGACAGGCTCTTTTCAAAAATTAATGGAGGTAGTACTGCCAAGGAAATTAGCTTAGCTATGTCAAACATGTCTATGAAAAAACACTGTGGATTTATCCCTTCATTAGTTTACCCATTCATTGTCATCAGTGCTTAGTTGACAGCCACATTAACAACGGCGCTCATCTAATTCTGTTGAGTGGAAATTCTCAGATTCATCCCCGGCCATAAAATTGTAGTAGCCTGTATTGTTCAGAGGAGATGAAATTTACTAGACGGATCATTTGGCTTTTCGGTTTTCGCCCCCCTTGTGTTGTGGTATTACAGTTTGTACTGTGCAAACACACAGCAAACGCTTTCCGGGAGGACTGGTGTGGCTGTGATGCAATAACGACCCTCCTACAGGACTTGTATGCAAGTTGTTGTTAGGGTCAGCAGGATGATGGATCACTTTGATACAACATTTTCTGAAACCACAGTAGAGGATGGTGAAGTGGGGTAGAATGAGATCACAGCATGGAGTCTTTAAAAAATGTCTAGCAGATTTGATTGCATTTCAGTATGCGCTGCATTCCTTCAGCGCTCTGTTGAGCACTGGAGCCCAGTCAGTCGAAAGCTGGCAAACACCGGCCAAGTTGATGTTTTACATTTTGAAGTTTTTTTGTTTTGATTTAATTTAGTAAATTTAATATATTTGTATGTTGCGTAACCCTTTCAGTGCCATTTTTCTCACACGATATAAGGCAGTCTTGACAGTTCAAGGCACAGTATGGTTGTTAATGTTTCGAAAATCCTGCCAAGTTTGGTAAAGATGCTTTCATATGTAAATTCGGTAGCTGTTTTTGACCGGAATTGTTTTGTAAGGAATAGACGTGTGAGTGTAACATGGAAGCATTATGTTTTGTGGAAGAGTAACAAAAGACAGACGAAGGCGGGCTCCGAAATGGGATTAGATAAAGGTAAAATGAGCGACCGTATACAATCCGGTGTTTTCTCAGTCCACCCAATGAGCAGATGCAGGGAGCTGGCCTGCACGCCAACCGCCACAGTAGGCTTTCACAAAGAATCTGTCTCTATTCAAGCCTTAATCCATGCTGCCGAGGGCCCGGGCATTGTCACTTTGCATGCAAAATTTCAATTAGTGCTGGTACCAGTTGTTTCATTTGAAGGGGGGTGTCACATTTCAGAGACATCTATGGCTACCTTTAGGGTGAGATTAATGCAGAAGTGTCACTGCTTTGCTTAAGAAAATCTTGCATTGCATAAGGTTACTAGTACTGAGCTGCTATGCTTTGTTATGGACACTGTACGTATCAGACCTAGACCATGGTCAAATAGGGGTTAAAGAATGCTGTTATACAAAGTTTATTATCCAAAAGTTAAGCAGGAAAAAACTAAAGAGGGATGGTTCCATTAAGTCGGATTTGTTCAAACATTTGTTCAAACATTCACACGTATGATTTCAGCGTTGTAGGTTTCTGCCCCAGCCGGCTCTGCAGGCAGAATAGTTGTGTATGTTGCTCCTGGCTCCAGCTTGTTAAACCAATTTAACCAAGGATTCAGTTCATGACATGATGGACTGTTTGACGCTCTTTCCATGCTTTCAGCTGTTTGACTGCTGCGGTTCACCGTCTTGAGCCAACTCTTCATTCTCTCCTGCCTATAACTGTTGAGTCAAGTTTGCTTAAGTTAACTTCCGTAAGTGCACTGCCAAGTTAAGAGTGGAAGCGTCTATGGATCATTTTACCAAAATTTTGTATTTAACTACCACACTGGGAAGTACTATCATACATTTAAAAATACAGACAGTATTGAATGATAGCTTAGGAAGCCAAAGCAATATTCATCTTCATCACACTGCACAACCCTCTGCAGACTGCTCCTTGTGGCTTAACACTTAATATTATTATATGGGCGAAGACACTTTGCTTCTGGTACGTATTCTCTTAGTTTTCACATGCCCTCATTTTCATATACTGTAGATCTGCTGCATTTAGAGTGACTTTTGCACACCGGTATTTATTGCTTCTTAAAAAAAGAACAGGTGTTTGGTCTGCAATCAGGCCCGTTCAGTTT